CTCTAGAGAGAGAGAGAAGCTTCCCCTTTCAATAATTGGCACACAAAGCAGTTTCTCTCTCATCGTACCCACCATGCAGCTTGAGTTCAATAATTGAAGAAATTGAGATGGTTTCTTTCCTACCCACCTTTCCCAGTTTTTCAAATATTCCATCCAAATTTGGCCATGGATTCATGTAACCCATCTCCTTTGGGAGTAAGAAAACCATGACAGCCTCACAAAAGATACTTTTCTTAGAATTGAAAGAATTTTTTTTCTTTCTATATTTCTCTTGCAATTCTTTTGGATAAATAAGTTACACTTGAAAGTAAACAAACTATAGTTGGTAAATATATAAAAATAATGAAAAATGTCAGTTGTTATGTGCAAGGGAGAAAAATTAGATATCGACAAGATTTTTTTTCTTTCTATATTTCTCTTGCAATTTCTTAAATTTTCCTGAAATTCCATAATTGCCCTTTATTAGAAATTTTCATTCCACAGAAGGTTGTATTTAATAGACCTCAAAAACGGTCGTAAAATGCAATTGCGTTGCAGAAATATTCATTTATCTTGGTGTCAATATTCATATTATTTGGACTATTTATATCAAGCTTTTACAATTTGCCAAATCCGCATGATTTTTTGAGCTTCAAATTTCATGATCGGAACAAAAAAGAAAGAGTTTTACTGCTACAATTGCATTTAGCGCAAGGTTCCGAGGTGCATCTTAACGGAATACTTCTGCGGCAACTGCATTTTCCGATAGGGTTTTGAGGTGTAGCTTTTCGAATTACTGTAAATTCCTGACAATGAAAAAAAAGTTTTCAAAAATTTCATCTTGGCCTTCAAATGTGTGCCCCTACATGCATGTGTTTCTTTTGAATATTGTGATTAATTTAAAGAAAGCAAAATAAAGGCAAGATAAGATCACACCATTTCCAGCTGTTGTACTTTGAGTACTTGATAAACCCAAGATTATAACAATATGTTTGTGATTAAGTGATCATAATAGATATCCATTGAGCATAGCATTCATATATTCCGTATCTTGAAAATTATTATTTAAGTTAGGAGTATGCCTACTTGCTTGTATGCTTTCCTAAAATAATAT